GGCGTGCCCACCTTCGTCCTACCGGGCTCGGGGCCCGAGCCGCGCGCCAGCTCGCGTCCGCGCCGCAGGATCCAGGCCGTGCCCTACCGCCTGGAGCTGGATCAAAAGGTGCGGGCCGCGGCGTCCCTCCTCGACCCCTGATGCTCCTACGGGCGCATTCCGGCCTTCCCGGCGACGTTGGGAGGCTAGGTGCTAGGCTTCAGGGGGGGCGTCCCGCCAATTGGCTGCAGTCCTGGGGGCGGGGGGAAGGCGTTGGAGGCGGCTGCCAACATTTGTGAGGGGACTGAAACGTTGTGCTTGACTCTTGTCATCCCCTCGGCACTCCGTGAGTGGGATCTTAACCTTAGGTAAGGAAAGGATGCACAGGAATTTTTATTTTCTGGAGAGGTTTTTGTTATAGGGCGCGTGCCCTCGCCAGACAGACCGGGCGCGTGCCCTCGCCAGAAAGACAAAGAGAGACAAAGAGACAGAAAGAGAGAAATCACCCCCCAGGGGGAATGGCCACGCCACAATCCCTTCTCCTCCATTCTCCTCTTGGGATCTTGGGCACGCATGCACACGCGCCTGGCGTGAGTTTAAGCCACCGGGCCTGGGACTCGAACCGTGTTTGACTACATGGGAGTTCAGCCACATAGCCATTACACTAAGTGCTGGTTCCAGGACAGCAAAGTCTTTTTTTAAACAAAATTATTATAATTTTATTTATTCATTCATTTATTTTAATTTGACGGGAGAGAGAGAGAAAGTGAATTAGCAAGCCACCAGGTCCAGGACTTGAACCATGGTCAGCCATGTGGGCGTGTCCAGCACTTTAACTTCCTTTAGTTCTTCAGGTGTGGTTTCTGTTAGTTCTTTTTTTTGAGAGGTGCTTTTGCTATAGGGAGTGTGCGGTTGCCAGACAGACAGACAGAAAGCAAGAAATCACCCCCCAGGGGGTATGGCCATTTCGCAATTCCTTCTCCATTCTCTTCTCGGGATCTTGGGCACGCACGCACAAGCGCCTGGCGTGAGTTTAAGCTGCCGGGTCCAGGACTCAAACTGTGGTCGACTACATGGGAGTCCAGTGACATAGCCATTATGCTAACTGCTGGTCCCTCTGTTAGTTCTTTGAACATATTTAAAATAGTTGATTTTGGGGCTGGCAGGTGGCATGGTGGTTTAGGGTGCTGGTCTCCCATATGGTTGACCACAGTTTGAGTCCTAGACCTGGTGGCTTGCCTTCTCACTTTCTCTCCCTCTCCCTCTCAGTCTGTCTTCCTCTGGTCAAATTAAAAATAAATAAATAAATAAATAAAGTTAAATAAAACAATCCTTTTTTTAAAAAAGAACTATTTTATTAAACTTTGTCTAGTGAGACTATGGCCTTAGCCAAGTCTCATTAATACCTTTGGCTTCCTCAAGAAGTTTTTGTTGCTTTTATTTTCCCCCCCCCCAGCTATACTACATTGTTTCTTTCCTGTCTTCTTTTTTTGTTGTTGAAAACTGGTTATTTTTATAGCATTACAGAATGATTTAATGTGGCTACTTTGAAAATCAGGTTCTCCATCCTTGGCAGTCTGGCTAGTGAGAGGCAAAGTGAGAAATCACCCGCTGGGGTGTGCGTGGCTGTTCTGCAATCCCCTTTTCTCCATTTTCCTGCTGGGATCTGTATGTGCCCAGCATGAGTTTGAAGCCTATCAGGCCCAGGACTTGAATTGTGGTTGACTATGTGGGAGTCCAGTGATGTAACCACTACGCCATCTGCTGGCCCTTCATTCTTGCCTTTTTTCTTTTAAGAATTATTTAACTTTATTTTATTTATTTATTTTTATTTAAAAAATTTGACCAGAGAGAGACAGAGAGAGACAGAGAGAGAGAGGGCAAGCCACCCACCAGGTCTGGGACTTGAACCGAGGTCCACAGTGTAAGAGTCCAGCACCTTTTAACCACCATGCCACCTACCGGCCCCTCATTCTTGCTTTTTGAGAAGACACTCACTAACCTCTTTACACCCTCATTGATCCTCACCTTCACTGACCAGATGAGAAAACTGGGGCTTCTAGTGGAACTAAATGTGAACCAAAGGTGGTTTGATTTTGAAATCGACCTGCTATGCAGAGTGACCATATTCCTAGTTGGTTCCAGCAGATGCCCAGTTTCTTCATGTGGTCAGTGAAGCTGAGGATTGATGGTGGTATGGGTAAAACAGCCAACAAAGACAGGCACGTTAATGTGTTAGATTCACGGTAGCTGTAATACTAATTCTTCATGGAGCTGGTTTGCAGGTATAACAGTGTAGCATAAGGGTTAAGAGCTTACATGCTGGGGGCCAGCAGGTGGCATTGTGGTTGAGGTGCTGAACTCCCACATGGCCTACTATGTTTTGTGTCCCGGACCTGGTGGCTTGCTTTCTCTCTCTCTGGTCAAGTAAAATAAAAAAAAAAAAAATACATTTTTAAAGAATTATTTTTATTTAACCTTATTTATTATTATTATTATTATTTTCCAGTTTGATCAGAGAGAGAGAGAGAAAGAGAGAAAGCAGGTCTGGGACCCAAACCGTGGTCAACCACGTGGGAGTCCAGTGCCTTTAACCACTTCGCCACCTGCCGGCACCAATAAATAATTCTTAAAAATAAAAAAAGCACTTACACACTGGAATTAGACAGGTTCTGCTTATTAGGCTAGGTCTAACCTCTGCAAGCCTCCATTTTCTCATCTACCTACTGAACAATAATAAGTATGTTATATAGCTCTTATGTCAAGTTGGGGATTATTTACCGGAAGGGCTTTAGCTGTATTAGCTCATCTAGTTATCACAGCTCAGTGAGAGAGATGCTATTACCATCTTCATTTTATAGAGGGAAGCAGAGACAGAGGTGAAGTCACCTATCTCAGGACACACAGCCAGCGGGTCACTGTGTCAACCTCATGAGCATGCTAGACTGTCTAGTGGATGGAGTGATAATACCTAGCTCGGAGGTGATTGTGCGGATTAAATGAGGTAGTATATATCAGACACACAGTAAACGCTCAGTAAATGTGAGTTGGTACATGAATAGTATGCTCTTGGATTTGATAATCTCATTTACTGCTAAAAAAACGGATGTGACAAATCAGGTAATGCTTTGTGGGAACTCTTTCTCAGATTTCGTCTGCTGCCTGTGGCTATGGATTCACATTGCTGGCCTCTAAAACTAAGGATGTCACCAAAGTGTGGGGCATGGGGCTCAACAAAGACTCTCAGCTTGGATTTCACAGGAGCCGCAAAGATAAAAGTGAGTATCCATTCCTTGATTGCCCCATTGTGATTGCTCTGAGCATGCCTTCTTGTTTTTCAAGGATGTAATTACACACACCAAGTCATAACAGCAACATAGATGGAGTCTTTTTTTAAAAGAGATATTTTTGCTGTAGGATAAATGTGTTTGCCAGAGAGACACTGAAAGTGAGAAATCACCTCCAGGAGGTGATGGCCATGCCGCAATCCCTTCTCCATTCTTCTTTTGGGCTTTTGGGCATGTATGCACTCAGGTCCGGTGTGTGTTTTAAGCTGCCGAGTCTGGGAATCGAACCATGGTTGGTCATGTGGGAGTCCATTGTCTTAACCACTATGCTACCTGCTGGCCCTGGTAGATGGAACTGTAAGAGGATATTGTTTGAATCCATCTGGACTGGATTATTTCAGCCACTTTGGTAACAACATTGTGCTTCCAGGCAAGCACCTGCTATTTGTTGATACCGGCAGGAGGCATGTGGTTAAGGCATGGGGATTCCCGCATGGCTAACCCTGGTTTTGAGTCCTGGTAATTAGGTAACCCTAATTATCTCCCAAATGCCCTACCTTTTAACACCATAATTGGTTTAAATTTTCACTGTTTAATCCTGTCACAGTAGGTACCAGTTCTTATCACATGAATTTTTGGGTGACACATTGAGACCATGGCACACTCCATGTAAAAATGTGGGACTTGGGTAGTATGCTTTCTTTTTTTGGAGAAAGGTTTTTCCTTTCCAGAGGGCACGTGCACTTTCTGGAGAGACAGAGAGACAGAAAGTGAGAAATTACCCCCCGGGGGGATGGCCACACCCCATTCCCTTCTCCATTCTCCTCTTGAGATCTTGGGCAGGTACGCACAAGCACCCGGCGTGAGTTTAAGCCACCGAGTCTGGGACTCGAACTGCGGTTGACTACATGGGAGTCCAGCAACATAGCTATTATGCCAACTGCTGGTCCCTCTTTTTTTTCTTTTTTTTTTGGGGGGGGGGAGAGGTTTTTGCTATAGGGCACGTGCGCTCGCCAGACAGACAGAGAGAGACGGAGAGACAGAAAGTGAGAAATCACCCCCCAGGGGGTATGGCTACATTGCAATCCCTTCTCCTCCATTCTCCTCTTGGGATCTTGGGCATGCATGCACGTGCGTCCGGCGTCGTCTTTTTTTTTTTTTGGAAGAGGTTTTTTTGCTACAGGGCGCGTGCACTTGCCAGACAGACAGAGATACAGAAAGCGAGAAATCACCCCCCGGGTGGATGGCCACGCTGCAATCCCTTCTCCTCCATTCTCCTCTTGAGATCTTGGGCACGCAGGCACACGCGCCCGGCGTGAGTTTTAAGCCACCAGATCCGGGACGTGAGCTGCGGTTGACTACATGGGAGTCCAGCCACATAGCCATTACGCTAACTGCTGGTCCCCCTCCTTTTTTTTTTTTTTTAAAGAGATTTTTGCTATAGGGTGTGTGTGCTCACTAGAAAGACAGAAAGAAAGAAAGACAAAGAAAGAAAGAAAGAAAGAAAGAAAGAAAGAAAGAAAGAAAGAAAGCAAGCAAGCAAAAATAACTGTGCTGCAATCCCTTCTCCTCCAGTGTCCTCTTGAGATTTTTGGCACACATGCACATGTGTCTGGCGTGAATTTTAAGCTGCTGTGTCTACCATATCTAGGACTTGAACTGCAGTTGATCATGTGGGAGTTCAGCAATGTAACCACCATGCCATCTATTCCAGTATAGTATGATTTCTAGCGTTAGAAATGCTGTTAACTCTTAGCCAGTGTGATGCGCTAAGGCCTGGTTGTTTTTTTCAGGCAGAGGCTATGAGTATGTCTTGGAGCCCTCACCCATCCCGCTGCCCCTGGACAGACCTCAGGAGACCCGAGTGCTGCAGGTCTCCTGTGGCAGAGCACATTCTCTTGTCCTGACGGACAGCGAAGGGGGTGAGTTGACCTGCTGACGGTGATGGGAGAGTAGAGGGACTGTTGTACTGGGAAACGGCCTTGCTGGTGGGCCTGAATAGCTTGCTTAATTGAGCCACTTGTTATTAGTGAAGCTTGCTTTCTCCTGAGCAGACCAGTAGGGCTGCCTGGAAAAGCTACATTGGGCAGACCTTGCTAACTCCTATGCGCTCTGCTCTCTGCGGTTCTTGGAAAATCACAGGTGCTTGTAACTGTGATGGTGCCAACAAGGCGGCCTCAGCAAGGCCTCCCTGCCTGTGCCAGGAAGCCACTGAGCTGGCCTTGTGCGTGGACGGTTTGTCTGTTGGTACTGAGAGACGCTTGTTTGCTAGTTCTTCCAGGTGGAGGCTTTCAGAGTCCAGGGCCATCTCCAGAAGGGAGGTTGTTTGCAGAGAAAGGCCAACGTGACTACATTTTTCAAATTTCATTGTCTGGCTCACTGCACAAATAGGCATATAGGAGCCCTTTCAAGAGGAGCTTTGGCTCGAGGGCAATCTAGTGGCAGATAGGGGGAGTGGGGTACTCACCTCGTAGTGTGGAATTCTCAGGAGGTGAACCTGGGCCTGGGGGGGAAAGCAGGCCTAGATCCCAGCACACCTTAGGTGTGTCTGCAGAGGCTGGGAGTGTTGGAGGAGACCGAGTGGCATTTAGTGGGAGGGGATGGACCAGGACCCCTTTGAGGCCTCTTTCCATTCCTGACATTCTGAGAGCCGACAACCCTGCGACCCTGACTTAACTGGTTATTTTACTTTTCAGTTTTCAGCATGGGAAACAATTCCTATGGGCAGTGTGGAAGAAAGGTGGTTGAGAATGAAATTTACAGGTGAGTGCCCAAGAGAACAAACCCTTTCCTGTCTGTGAAGCACTGGACATTTCTCGAGTGAGTCTCACCTGGTAGACCCATAGAGCAATGAAAGGCCAGGTCCCTCGTGCTCAGGAGGGAGACATGAGCACTCGGGGAAGTCGTGGAAAGTGGTGTTCACTTTAGGTTGAGCCCCAGCCAGCACGGTGGTAGGGAGGGCAGATGAGCATTGATTGCGGTGGCACTTTTTTGAATTAACTTGGATAAATTATTTTTTAATTTTTACCAAATTCACTTTTAAGAATATACTCTTTCACTTTAGTGCTCTTTATTTTACTGTTTGAAGATTTCCTATCAGTTTCTTGCATTATATTGGTGAGTCTAACCATGTTCTTTTTTTTTTTTTTTGGTAGGGTTTTTTTTTCTTTTGGCCTTAGGAGCATGAGCTCACCAGAGAGAGACAGAGACAGAGACAGAGAGATAGTGAGAGGGAAGGTGAGAAATCAGTCCTTGGGGGATGGCCATGCCACAGTCCCTATTCCATTTTCCTTCGGGGATCTTGGGCATGCATGCACATGCACCTGGTGTGACTTTCAAGTTACCGGGTCTAGGACTTGACCATGTGGGGGTTCAGCAATGTAACCTCTACATCATCTGTTGGCCCTGGGTCTTACTATATTAAAATCACCTAGGACTTTCTTTTTCTCTTGTGAGACGGTGCCATGCACATGCACAGACAGATGTGGAAGGGGGAAGGAAAGAGAGAGAGAGAGAGAGTTAGGTATTTTTTTTCTTTTCGAGAGGTTTATGCTATAGGGTGCGTGTGCTCACCAGACAGACAGAGACAGACAGAGAGATAGAAAGCAAGAAATCACCCCCCAGGGGGGATGGCTACGCTGCAGTCCCTTCTTCTCTATTCTCCTCTTGGGATCTTGGGCACGCACGCACACGCACCTGGCGTGAGTTTAAGTCACCGGGTCTGGGACTTGAACCACGGTCGACTACATGGGAGTCCAACAACATAGCCATTACACTAACCCAGAGTTAGGTATTTTGACAAGGTCTTCCCCATCAGTCCTGTGTCCTCGTCTCCTAGTTAGCTAGGATTATAGGTGTGCACTATCATGCCTGGCCTGTTCAGGTTGACTTGGGATCCAAACCTGGGTCTCTGCTGTGCCACCAGTTTACACAGTGGTTCCCTGCTATCTGTATTACCATGGCTGGGTCTGTTTTGTTTTATTTCCATCCACATCTAGACCTCACTCTGTCTTACGTCGACCTCAAGAGTCTCCTAACTGTTTTGGTCGTCTGGGGGGATCAGCTGCCAGATGGCAGAGATGGGAAGGGCAGGGACTGCGCTGCGTTCATCGTGACCGTATCTCTTCCCTCTTCCCTGTTTGCTCCTGGCTGTAGTGAAAGTCACAAGGTCCATAGAATGCAGGACTTCGATGGACAGGTGGTCCAGGTAGGAGACACAGCTGAGAACCACTTGTCTGTTCCCAGACAAAAAGTTTAAAATTGGATGGGGCAATGGCCAACTTGTTAGTGGGATTTTCTGAAATAATGAATTGTTTTAGTAAATCACTGACCTACAGTAGGCTGGATTTATGCGAGATCCTGGGGACACGATGAGATCTGTGGGGAGAGCTCTGTATTGGGAGAACAGGTTGAAGAATTAGCTTTGTCCCAGTGGGATCAATGCCGTGGTGTTCTAGGCCGGTGCTCAGGAGCAGTGGGGAATAGGGCTAGTTCTGTGGGTCCGTGGACTAGAACAGTACCTCTCATCACTCTCATCTCTGATTGTCTGCTAGGTAGCCTGTGGTCAGGATCATAGTCTGTTCCTGACGGATAAAGGAGAAGTCTATTCCTGTGGATGGGGTGCAGATGGGCAGACAGGTAGTATGCTTTTTCATTTGGGTGCATGGTTTTAGCTTGGGTTAGGTGGAGCTGTGAGCTGTTAAGGCTTTCATGGACGACAGCCCACCTTTCTTAATTGGACTCCTGCCTTTCATCATATCCTGGGGAATGCTGCTCCAATTTTCCCCACCTCCATCTGACAGAAATAAACCAGAAAAGTGTCAGAAGTCACGTTAGCCCCTCAACATAGGAGTTCTGAGCTTTCCAGCAGAGAGAATAAACTGAAATTATTTTATTTTGAAGAAGTATTTATTTAATTTGATTATTATTTTAAAATTTGCTATAGAGCGTGTGTCTTCACCAGAGAGAGATAGAGAAGGAAAATGAGAAAGCAAGCTACCAGATCTGGGACTCAAACTGCAGCTGGCCATGTGGGAGTCCAGCCCCTTAACCACACCACCACCTGCTGGCCCTTGAAATTGAGTCTTTAAAAAAAATTATTTGGAGCTGGCAGGTGGCATGGAGGTTAAGTGTGCTGGACTCCCACCTGGCTGACCATGGTTTGAATCCTGGACCTGGCGGCTTGCTTTCTTACTTTCCTTCTCTCGCTCTCACACTGTCCCTCTCTGGTCCAAATAAAACTAAACAAATAAGTAAATAAATAAAGTTAGATAAAGTAACTCTCAAAAAAATTATTTGTTTATTTCTTCAGAGAGGAAGGGAGGGACATCCCCACAGAGTTTTCATGTCCATAATTCATACCCAGCTTCAGCCAGCCATAATCATGAGCATGTATGTCTGGTGTGCATAGAGAGACCTCGAGATGCGAACCTGAGACCTTCACATGTGACTCCGCATCCTGGAGCATTAGGTTATTGCTATGCCACTGCAGCTGGCCTGTGTTTGTCAGAGGGCACATAGGGCTCCCAGAGAGAGAGAGAGGAATGTGATGGGACATGCCGTGCGGCATTGGGTGTGCTGCAATCCCTTCTCCTCCACCACTTTATCCTGTGAAGGTTGGGGTGTGCGTGCACAGGTGCCCTGCATGTTTTGCAGGCTGTTGGCCCTGGGACTCAGACCACACTGTCTGCCATGTGGGATCCAACTGCCTTAACCACCAGGCCATAGAGCCAGCCTGCATTTCTTTTTTTATGAGCAAAAGTTACAAATTTTCACCAAATACATTGTCTGTTTTTTCTTTTGCTGGCATTTTTGGTATCATCTTCAAGAAGTCACTGCTAAATACAATATTGTGAAGATTTTACCCTGTGTGTTTTTTTAAGTAGAGTTATTAATTATTATTTAATTTTGCTATAGGGCACATATGCTCACCAGAGAGAGAGAGAAAGGGAAAATGAGAAAGTAAGATGCCAGGTCTGGGACTTGAATCACAATTGGCCATGTGGGAGCCTAGCACCTTAACCACCACACCACCTACTGACCCTATCCTATTTTTTTTTTTTTTAAGAATTATTTTATTTAACTTTATTTATCAGGTCTGTGTGTTTGCTAAAAGAATGAATAACTGACAGTCTCTTCCACTGCTAGGTCTGGGTCACTACAATATCACCAGCGTCCCCACCAAGCTGGGCGGAGACCTCGTAGGAGCACACATTGTTCAGGTTGCCACCTATGGAGATTGCTGCCTGGCCGTGTCTTCTGACGGAGCCCTCTTTGGCTGGGGAAACTCTGAGTACCTGCAGCTGGCCTCTGTCACTGACTCCACTCAGGTACGAGGTCACCTACAGCACAGAGCTGGGAGGTTTGGAAACATAAAGTCTTAAGGTTGGTTTTTTTGAGAGATTTTTGCTATAGGGTGCTTGCACTTGCCAAAGAGACAGAGAGACAGAAAGTGAGAAATCACTCTTCAGGATGGATGGCCATGCCATAATCCCTTCTCTTCGAGTCTCCTCTCGGGATTTTGGACATGTACCCAGTGTGAGTTTCAAGCTGCCGGGTCCAGGACTCAAACCATAGTTGGCTGTGTGGGAGTGTAGCAACGTCTGCTGGTCCCAGTGTTACTGTTGTTTCTTAGAGGTTCTTCACTGAGTTAGGGCAATGCTATCTGACCCTGACCTGTGGTAAGAGCACATCTTGGGGTACTGATTTCTTGTTCGTCTCGTTGGAGCTTGGAAAGAAGCTCAGGTTTGGAAGCCGTCGTTACAAAGCTTACCTGAGGAAGCCCTGTGCAGGTGCGGTTTTGTGTGCTCGTCTGCCCCATCTTGTTCTAATGGGACACGGAGTGTTGACATGACTCCCTGTGATGTCATGGTAGACTTTCTCTTGCCAAAGAGCACACAGGTTGTAAACGTGTAGCTCCGTGACGATGCTTATGTGACCCCACTCAGTCAAGCAGCAGCTTACTTGTGGCACCTGAGAAGCCCTGCCTGTGGCCTTGCTCCACCGCTGCCGCTCTTCACCACTGTCAGTACAGTACAGTAAGAGTTCTAGTGCCTTATTAAAGAAAATTCAAATATAAACGAAAAGTAGACATGGCTTTTTTTTTTTTTTTTTTTTGGTTTTCGCTATAGGGCGTGTGCGTTTGCCAGACAGACAGAGAAGACATAGAGACAGAAAGCGAGAAATCACCCCCCGGGGGGATGGTCATGCCGCAATCCCTTCTCCTCCATTCTCTCGGGATCTTGGGCACGCATGCACATGCGCCCGGCATGAGTTTCAAGCAACCGGGTCCGGGACGAGAACCACGGTCGACTACATGGGTGTCCAGTGACATAGCCATTACGCTAACTGCTGGTTCTCAGACATGGCTTTGTAACTAGTCTTTATTGTCAGCCATGCTTAGCAGTTTCCAGCCAGTGGCCTCTTCATTAGCATGTGTGTGCATGCTTTTAGATAGGATCTTGTTGTGTCCTGACCCTCCCTCCTCAGCCTCCTGAGTAACTGGAGCTACAGGGGTGTGCCATTATACCCTGCTTTCCAGGGGGTGTCAGGAATCAAACTGGGGCCTCCCATGTGGCCTCAACCTGCCAAATAGCACATCTAGTGTGCTGCTGCAGCCAGGCCCAATTTTTAAAATAAATCTAGGGACCAGCAGTTAGCATAATGGCTATGTCACTGGACTCCCATGTAGTTGACCGTGGTTTGAGTCCTGGACTCGGTGGCTTAAACTCAGTTGGGCATGTGTGTATGTGTGCCCAAGATCCCGAGAGGAGAATGGAGGAGAAGGGATTGCAGTGTGGCCATCCCCCCTGGGGGGTGATTTCTCACTTTCTGTCTCTCTGTCTCTCTCTCTGTCTCTCTGGTGTGCACACGTGCCCTATAGCAAAAACCTCTCCAAAAAAAATCTATACTATAATTCACCTTTTTTTTTTTTAATAATTATTTTATTTAACTTTGTTTATTTATTTAAATTTGACCAGAGAGGGAGAGAGAGAGAGAGAAAGGGAATGTGAGAAAGCAAGCCGCCAGTTCTGGGACTTGTACCACGGTTGACCATGTGGGAGTCCAGTGCCCTTAACTACCTGCTGGCCCCATATAATTCACCATTAAGTGTACAGTTTTGTGGCTTAGTACATACATAAGGTTGTATAGCTGTCACCTCTGTCTAACTCCGGAATGTTTTTATCACTCCTTCAGAAACCCATACCACACTAATGGCCAGTTTCGTTGCATCTATACTTCCATCAACTTTTCTGCCCTGGATTATTGTGAAGCAGATCCTAGAGATCGTATTTCATCTGTAAAATTCTCAGTATGTCTCTTTAAAAGATAAAGACTATTTAAGAAACATATTGCATTAAAAAATTTCAATCCAATTTCTTACTACATAAAGGGTTTAATATATACACACACACATACACATATTTAAAATTAGTTTGTATAGGGCTCTTGCACTCATGGAAAATACATAGTTAAAGTGAGAAAGCACCCCAGAGGGCGTAGCCCCATCATAATCCCATCTCCTCCGTTTCTCTCTGGATTTGGGCATGTATATATATGCACCTAGCATGTTTTTTTTGGAGCGGTTTTTGCTATAGGATGCGTGTGCTCACCAGAAAGACAGAGAGAGACAGAGAGACAGAAGCAAGAGATCACTCCCCAGGGGGGATGACCATGCCACAATCCCTTCTCCATTCTCTTGGGATCTTGGGCACGCATGCTCACGTACTCAAACTGTGGTCGACTATATGGGAGTCCAGCAATATAGCCATTATGCCAACTGCTGGTCCCATCCCAGCCTTTTTTTAAAAAAAATTTTCCATTTATTTATTTATTTTTACATTTTTCCACATTTACTTTATATGTCAAAAAATTTTGCTCATACTCCATTGTTCTTAACAGTTAATAAACAACTTTCAAAATTTCAGAATACCGAATTTTAAAGATAATGTTCAAAATACTTTTTATAATTTTGTTTGTGACTATAACAACAGAGACAGTATGGTTTTAGTATCTTTGAGAAAATATTTACATGTCAACTACTCAAATTGTTGAAAAGCAAACACTAGTCACACATACACCCTCTCAATTGTATACCAAGTATACTGTGATATACCATCTGCTAGCAAAGATCAGTCTCTTTTTCTTCCTTCAAAGTCTTTCTCAAGATAATCCTCTGATGTGGTTGCTCTTTTGCAGTCTCTACTGATGACAATGCTGCTGGAAAAGTCCAGGTTCCCAGCATGTTTTTTAAGCTGCGGGTCTGGGACTTGAATAGCACCATTGCTCACATGGCATGCAGCCGCCTTCACCACACTATTGGCTGGCCTTTAAATATATATTAACATAGTAGATAAAGAATTCTGCAGAGGGGCCAGCAGGTGGCGAAGTGGTGGTATCAGTGGATTCCCACATGGCTGACTGCGGTTCGAGTTTGGGCCTGATGGCTGAAATTCACACCAGGTGTGTGTGTGCGTGCACGCCCAAGATCCCAGGAGGAGAATGGAGAAGGGATTGCAGTGTGGTCATCCCTCCCATGCCCCAGGGCTGATTTTTCTCCCTCCCTCCTCTCTCTTTCTTGTGAGTACATGTGCTGTAAGGCAAAACCTCTTAAAAAGAAACCCTGCAGGAAGGAAAATCAAAGATCACCTAACGAGATGAAAAAAATGCCTTCTCCATGGTCTGGCACAGTGGCTAGAAGGGGCTATAGATTTGCTCTGAGGTTCGTGGTAGCCAAACGAGAAGACACAGTCTATTAAGTGATTCATTTTTTTCTGTAAGATAAACAGCAAACAAGGTCCTCAGGAGAGTACCACCACTGTTCTTCTTTAGACCAAGCCCAAAAAAAAGTTTCCCACTCCCGCGGGGGTCAAATCTAGTGTCATGTCATTGTTACTGATAGTTGTATTCCAAAACTCAGTGGATTGCAACAACACACATTTATGATGTTGTGGGTTTTCGGGTCAGGACTCTAGGGAGTGGTAGCTGAGTCTTTTGGCTTTGAATCTTTCAGAGGCTGCCATCATCTGAGGGTTCTGCAGAGGAGGGACCTGCTTCCAGGCTCCCTCTGGTGTTGGTGTCAGGGCAGAGCCCGTGTGGACTGTTGGACCACAGCAGCCCCAGTTCCTCGCTGGCCGTTAGCCAGCCAAGAGCTGCTGCCAGGCCATCCTCGGTTCCTTGCCATGTGGGCTTCTCCCCAGGGCAGCTTACAACATGGCAGCTGGCTTCGTCAGTGGGAGCAAATAGAGGGCCCGAGAGTGCCAGCAAGACAGAAGCCAGTGTTTATAATTTAGTCTTAGAAGTGACGGCCCCACATTTTGGCTGGAGTCCTGTTCGTTAGAAGCAAGTCACCAGTTTTGTTTGTTAGAAGCGAGTCACTGGATCCAGCCTGCATACAGGGTTGGGATTACACGTGGGTATGAATAGTGGGACACAGGGTATTTGGGAACTATCTTAGAGGCAGCATCCTACAATCTTGATTTATTATTTTTTTTTACATTAAACTTATTTATTTATTTCTTAATTGGCTCCATCAGGACTGTTGTGGCCTGAGCCGCCTCCTGTTGGTGATGACAGCAGTGAGTTGCCAGTGGCTGTTGCTAGAGTGTTTCTCGGCACCTGCCAAGAGTGTCACGTCAGAGCACAGTGCTACAAAGCCGTTGTCTGAGCAGGCGCTGGGGTCCAGGGCCCAGCCCCGACAGCCGGCCAGACAGACCGTGTGGGCTCAGGAAGTCCCTTTATTCCTGTGGAGTCAGCTTAGGCCTGTTCTTCCCCAGCTGTGTCCATTCAAAAGTGACTCTGTAGAGCCTCCTGGCTGAAGCCATTACTCGGTGGAAGTGCCAGGACTAGTCCTGCTGGAAAGCTGACTTGGCCACACTTCGCCTGATACCTCTGCGTCCCCATCTCTCACTTTTAGAAGATCTTGCCTTCTGTTTAATAGACAAAACAGAGGCCATTGGAAGGGAGCACCCTAGTTCCCCAGTGTGAATCCTACCTGCTACCCCCTGGGCTGCTTGCTTTGGGAATGGCGGAGGTGTACACAGGAGGGGCTTCCTTCCCAAGCAGCTGCTGCTCTCTTTGCCCCGGATCCCACCTTCTGCCACCTTCTCAGCAGCCTTCCCCTGTCTGGTGGGCTTTCCCGCAGTTTCGGCATCTCCCTCTTTCCTGGTCCCATGCCCACAGTCTTATTTTTTTTCCTTAAGAATGATTTATTTGGGGCTGGCAAGTGGCGTGGTGGTTAAAGGCTCTGGACTCTCCCACATGACTGACCGTAGTTTGAATCCTGGACCTGGTGGCTTCCTTTCTCACTCCCCCCACCTATCCCTTTCTGCTCAAGTTGAAATAAGTAAAATAAAATAAATAATTCTTTTAAAAATTATTTATTTTATTTACTGTTTTTTAATTTGACCAGAGAGATAGAAAGAGAGAGAGAGAGAGAGAAAGGGAGAAAGCAAGCCACCAGGTCTGGGACTCAAACTGCGGTTGGCCGTGTGGGAGTCCAGCGGCTCAACCACCCCTCCACCTGCTGGCCCCCATTCCCTCAGGCTTTACGCCTGGCTCTTGTCTCCCATCTGAAAAAAGCCTATCTAGACTCCATCTCCTGCAGCCCTTTGCTTTATCTCTTGCCTCCCCTCTGAAGCTAGACTTCTCCAGAGCTGTGTTTACTTGTTGTCTCTCGTTCCTTGTCTCCTCTTGGCTCTTCCGCCTGTCCCACATAGCTTCTCCCCTTGTCAGTTTGCTGAGTGGCTCCTACTAGGGTTATCAGTGACTTCCATGTTGCTGAAAATGATAGTAAAGCATCTCAAGGACATTTTCTAGTCTTATTCTTTCTTGACCTCTTGGCAGCATTTGCACTGATACTCTGGCCTGCCTTCTCCCCACCAGCATCTTGTGGTGTTTTCCCTCTTCATTTTCTGTTTCAGCCACCCTGACCTTCATTCAGCTCCTTGAATATGCCACGCCCACCTCGCTCCATTTGTAAGCATCTCCTGGACCTGGAATGTCCTCCTCCTTCCTTGGCCTAGTTAACTCCTACATATCCTGCAAGCCTTCAAGGCCTTCCCTGGCTGTTCCTCCCCTCACACTGGATCAGGTTCCTTGACATACACCTCACAGACGCCTGTCCATTCCTTCAGTGCATGTAGCACACGCAATTCCAGGTTCACTTTGGTTGGCATCCATCTCTTCCGCTAGGTGGAGCTCTTTGAGGGGGCCACGGGCCTCTTGTGCTGCCCATCGTAAACCAGCACCTAGTTATGTGCTTAGCATATGTTAGGTCTTCAGGAAGTGTTGGCAGAATGAGTCAACAAACTGGGGCTTATCTGATTTCTGTTCTCTGGTTCCTTTTTGTATTTTTTTAAGAATTATTTAATTTTATTTGTTATCTTTTATTTTCTATAGGGCATGTATGCTCACAGAGAATGAGAGGGAAGGTGAGAAAGCCGCCAGGTCTGGGACTTGAACCGTGATCTGCCATATGGGAGTCCAGAGCCTTACACCACACCACGTGCTGGTTCCGCCTCCGGTTCTTACTGGTCTGTTTTCCTAACTGTGTGCACTCTCTCTTTGATACAGGTGAATGTCCCCCGGTGCTTACCCTTCTCGGGAGTGGGCAAGGTGAAGCAGGCTGCATGTGGCGGCACAGGCTGTGCCGTGGTAAATGGTGAGACTCGTTCTGGCAGTTCTTCATAGGCAGATGGGCCAGGGGAGTGGCGAGCGTCCCCTGGATTCATGGCTGAAGACCTCGGCCTCAGGGAGGGAACTTGGCCATGGGAAGATCTAGTTGGATTGAGTTCAGTTATTACAGGGCGAGGGTGAAATTCTGTACAGAAAGATAAAAGCCTGTGATTTATATGTAGACAGACAGCAGTAGAATGGATCATTCTGCAGCAAACCACTGGAGTGGAGAATGAATGAATTACTTTATTCTCCTCCTTCAGCCTGGGCCAAAAAGACTCCAGTTCTGCCATCTCTAGCCAAGAAATAAAAGGCAGACAGGAGAGGAGCCGCAGAACTTGGACACTGAGGTCTGTGCCCCTGGGGTTAAATGTCTGGTATCACTGAGGAGTAGTACACTTTTTTTTTTTTTTTGTAATATCCAAAACATTAAGAGTTTTAAGAATCTGGCTAGAACTTATTTATGTATTTGGCTTGGTTTCCTGATCAGTGGGAAACTTAGAGCTGTCAGTAGGGAAAACGGTCCTCTGGTGTTCACTTGGGTTTTCTGGGTGATTTATGGGCTGGTTCCCTTCAGGTTACCCTCAAGATATGGAAAGTTTGCATTCTGAGATTAGTTACCAGACTAGACAGACTTCACCAGCAAGAATTTAGCAGGGGAGAGAGGAGACTTATTTGAAATCTCCCTCAGCATGTTCTTGCCAAGCAAAGAGGGAAAAGAACTCCACGTGGATGTAATGTGTCTTGGTAGTGCTGTTTGAATTTCTGCTGAGGGAGGGCTCTCCATGGTTTGACTTACTGACCATTGTTTTTATTGTAATGTAGGAGAAGGACATGTTTTTGTCTGGGGCTATGGAATTCTTGGGAAAGGACCAAACCTAGTGGAAACTGCTCTTCCAGAAATGATTCCACCCACTCTCTTTGGCTTGACAGAGGTCAGCCCAGAAACCCAGGTTTCCCGTATTCGGTGTGGACTCAGCCACTTTGCCGCACTTACCAGTAAGTGACCAAGCCCCGGGGCCGGGGAGCAAGACTGACATAAGTTCTCTGTCTGGTCCAGCCTGATACCAGAGGCCACTCCATTTCCACCCACGCAGTGGAGGAGCTCCTTCGTGTGGATAATTAGTAGCCAGTCCAGAAGCTGTTTGGCTTGAGGTTATATAATATGTGTGTTTTTTTCATCCTAGAGTTTTGTTTTTGGTCCATTTGGTTTGTGGTTAGGCTAATGTCAAGTGAATTTTCCCAAGATGGCACTAGTTGGGGGGTAGGAGGAGGGGACTCGAGCATGTCAGGGTGCTGGAGGGACCAGTAGAGGTTTGACGAGGCCCAGGGTGGGTAATTAGGAAATGAGTGTGTGAGGCCTCATCCCATTCGCTGGCCAAGCCAAAACCCTGATCCGACCCAGGCATGTGGGGTGGCAAGAGGCAGATTTGTAAGACCATCCTGTGGTTTTTGTGGAGGTAAATCCTCTGATTTCTCCACAATACTGAGGCAGAGAGAGAGAGAACGATTCAAGGGAGGGCTGAGATGGGGTTTTCTCAAAGACTCGCCAAGGTTCAAAACCATAAAATATCCAGTTCTGCTTAAGAACTCTAGAGTGGGGGCTTTTGCTTGCTTCTTTCTCTTTTTTTCTTTTTCTTTTTTTTTTTTTTTTTAGAGAGATTTTTGCTATAAGGTACATGCACTCACCGGACAGACAAAGAGAGAGAAAGTGAGAAATCACCCCTCAGGAGGACTGGCCATGCCACAGTCCCTTCTCCATTCTCTTCTCGAGATCTTGGGCACACATACACACAAGCCCAGCGTGGGTTTCAAGCTGCCAGGTCTGGGACTCGAGCCATGGTTGACCACGTGGGAGTCTAGCGATGTAACCACCATGCCACCCGCCAGCCCCTGAGTGCTCTTCTTGAATGTATCTCTTAATCCACCACATTTACTGTTGGATCAATTTGCTGCTCTTTAGCTGACTTGAATAGTACAACTACAAAGCTAGTTAGTTTCATTTTGTGATTCTCAAGTAAATGAGCTATTTCCTCGCAATTAAAAATTCTTTTAGTGTCATGGTAAACGATTGTTTTCTTTTTAAACATCTGGGCCGAGTCAGTCCTCGTTTGTGTTCTCTGGCCTCATACTCATGTGAGGACTCTTCCCAATTGTTGCCCTCTGTTCCAGGATCCTAGTGACTTGAATTTCAGATTTCACGGGCCTGGAATAATGCAGGATATGGCAGGGGCTGTTAGGGCATGTCCGAGTGTTCTCTGACTCTGTGTACTAAACACCAGGTGGTAGCAGTGGTATTCAGGGGAGGGATTCCTTGCCACCCTTCAACCAGAGCAGCTGTTTTACTTTGCAGATGAGCCTCATTCTTGGGACTATTTTAGAGTTATTTTGACTATGGACTATGTTCTGATAGCAACACATATCTATTTGCCAGAATGTTCTGAGGCTTAAACTGTGTGTGGAGTAAAATCTTCAGAAATGTATGTGAAAAAAAAATTTTTTTTTTTTTGGTTATTTGGTTTTTGCTGTACAGAGACACAGAGAGAGAAAGTGAGATGGCCATGCCACAATTCCTTCTTCTCCATTCTCCTGTTGGGATTTTTTGGCACTCATGCACATGCCTGATGTGATTTTCAAGCTGCCGGGTCTGGGACTTGAACTGCGGTCGGCTATTTCGGAGTCTAGCACCGTAACTCCCATGCCACCTGCTGACCCCTTTGTGAAGCTTTTTACAACTTGTAAATGTGTATTTATTGTTTAGATCATCTTACACTAGATCCAGGCCCATGAGGACTGGACCTGTGGCTGTTTGGTCACAGTCCTGTCCCCAGCCCCTAGAGCAGACAGACCCTGGCACAAGTGGGCAGGCACTCGGTAACTCGATGCCGCTGGACGACTGTGCCTGAGATGAACTCCCAAACGAGTGACAAACCGTGCTATTTCTCACTGTCGGATTAAAGAGCACAGGTGTGACCAGGACTTTGTTCAGACATGACTGGGGGTGGGGTAGGGTGGTACACTGGGGGCCGGAGGCCGGAGCACCGTGCCCACAGCTCCATGCGTAGGCTCATCCCCCATGCATACAGACACAGTGCAGTCCTGGGCAGGGACACGTTGGCCTCAGAGACTCACTTTCCCCTTGAAAAGAAAGTGTGAAGCCAGGTAGAAATGGACATTTAACTGTGGCACTGTTCATAACAGGGTCTAGAAAGCTTGTTCTCCCGACCCGCTGTCCTCTTCCTGGAGACTGGTTCTTCAAACGGCCCCAGCCCAACCTTGTTTTCCTCTTTGCAGACAAAGGAGAGCTGTTTGTGTGGGGCAAGAACATCCGAGGGTGCCTGGGAATCGGTCGCCTGGAAGACCAGTATTTCCCCTGGAGGGTAAGGTGGACTGGGCGGGGTTGAGGCAGGTCCACCCGATGTAGCCCCAGCCGCCACATATGGCCAGGCCAGGACGAGGTCCACGGGACTGCCCCCTCCCAGGCACTGGCTGCCTTCCTCTGTTCCTCGCTCTGTCATGGCGTCAGGGCAGACACCTGAATAGTGGTGACGGTGAGTGAGCCCCTGCACCAGGCTCACAGGCTGCAGGGCTCGTGCCCTCATCCCCGGTGATGGGCCAGGCCATTCTTGGGTCCTGCTGAGGGAGGGCTTGGTGGGAATGACCTACCCATGTGTTCCAGGCTCTGAGATGCCGAGTCAGAGTCTCTCCTCAGGAATGCAGAGCAAGGAAACAAAGGCGTGCCTAAGCACCAGGGGCGAGCTCCAGGCAGGGCCTTTGGGACGCCTGAGGCTCCTGAGGGCAGTGGTTGAAGACGTCAGAGCTGTTTCTGGACTCCCATGTAGTGGAATGTTTAACAGTGAGTTTAGAAGAAAGTAGGATGTTCACTATTTAGATTTCGTAACCACAGCCACCAAAGTGAAAAAAATAAAGGCTTTTCTTAGGGATAGGATGCAATTAGACAAAAGAGCTTATTTCAAAATGAAAGGGGAAAAGGCTCTTAAATTGTAGTTTATCTTAGTGTTGTTTACTGAGTCTGTTCTTTAAGTTATTCTAAAAAATAGTTACTTATTTCTTTTGAATACACAACATATGTTCATGGTACAAAATGTATTATGAAAAATCAGGCTCCTACCACCCATCTCTTGCCATGGGTACTGACTGGTTGTTTATGCCCCCTTCCAGAGGGAGCACAGAGAACAGCACATGTGTGTGTGAACTTGCATGTGTGTGCAAGTGTGTATGTGCATGTGCATGTCTTTTCTTGGAAGTTTGGATTTTCATAATGTGTTTAGAAATTGTGCTGGGGCCAGCAGGTGGCATGGTGGATAAGGGTGCTGGACTCCCACATGGCTGACCGCGGATTGAGTCCCAGACCTGGTGGCTTGCTCTCTCTCTCTTTAACTCTTATCCCTTTCTGGTCAAATTAAGATAAATAAATAAATGGATAAATAAAGTTAAATAAAATAAATCTTTAAAAAAAAAAAGGAAATTGTGAAAAGCATATTTAAAAAAGCTCTTGTTGGTGGGGACAGCAGGTTATAGTATGTTGGTCAAGGTGCTGGATCCCTCATGGCTGATCCCACAGTTTGAGTCCTGGACCTGGCAGCTTGATCATGCTAGACACATGTATGCATGCCCAAAATCCTGAGAGGAGAATGGAGGAGAAAGGGATGTGGCATGGCCACCCCCCTCCGGAGGGGGTGATTTCTCACTTTCCCATTCTAGACATATGTATGCATGCCCAAAATCCTGAGAGGAGAATGGAGGAGAAAGGGATGTGGCATGGCCACCCCCCTCCGGAGGGGGTGATTTCTCACTTTCCCTCTTTCTCTGTCTCTCTCTGGTGAGTGCACGTACCCTATGACAAAAACCTAAAAAAAAAAAAAAAAAAAAAAAAACACAAAACAAATAATAAAAAGCCCTTGTAAAAATGCAAAATAGACAAAATAAGGATCTGTCAAAAACCTGCCGCCACATGTTCTGAAACACTTTTTTTTTTTTTCTTTTTTCTTTTTTGTTTTTGGAGAGATTTTCACTGTAGGGCGTGTGCGCTTGCCAGACAGACAGAGAAAGACATAGAGACAGAAAGCGAGAAATCACCCCCCAGGGGGGATGGTCACGCCGCAATCCCTTCTCCTCCATTCTCCTCTCGGGATCTTGGGCACGCACGCACACGCGCCCGGCGTGAGTTTTAAGCCACCGGGTCCGGGACACGAACCGCGGTCGACTACGTGGGAGTCCAGCGACATAGCCATTACGCTAACTGCTGGTTCCCGATGTTCTGAAACACTTTGGCATTTTATTTTTTTTTGGAGAGGTTTTTGATATAGGGTGTGTGCACTCTCCAGAAAGACTAGAGAGAGACAGACAGAAAGTGAGAAATCACCCCCAGGGGGGGATGGCCACACCACAATCCCTGCTCCATTCTCCTCTTGGGATCTTGGGCATGCCCACATGAACACACGCCCGGCATGAGTTTAAGCTACCAGGTCCGGGACTCGAACCATGGTCGACTACATGGGAGTCCAGCAATGTAGCCATTACGCCACCTGCTGGTTCCGCACTTGGCATTTTTAAGGACTGTTTACATTGGCCCTTCTCGTGGCTGCTGTTTCTCCTGGTTCTTTGTGAACTCAGTAGGCACTGACGCTCTATTAAAAACTGTGGGCGGAGTCTCTAAGAGAACAAGTCGAAATAGAGACCTGAACCGTCTTAGAAACAAATATTGGTACACTAAAGTCGTTACCGGGAGTCCGGGCTTGCCAGCTTATTTGCCAAGCCTGGAAATACCACCCTGTGTGGGGACGTATCAGTTAGTGGATGTGGATGGCAGTCAGATAACGTGACTGTCAGTAAGTGACATGTCCCACTGTTTTCTTGGTAATTCCTCACTGCTCTCACTCTTACCTTCCTTTCGAGCTTCTGTCTGAGTGGAAGCTTGGGAAGCAGTTAAAGCTACGGGGTTTGGACGTGTGAACACTGCCACAGGCCTACCTTCCTGCCCTCATTTCCTCCAAATTGGAGGGTACATGAACCACAAGGTTTTTTATTTTGTTTTAGATTTCTTTTTCTTTTCTTTTTTTTTTTTTATTTTTGGAGAGAGATTTATGTTATAGGGCATGTGTGCTCACAGGAGAGAAAAACAGAGAGAGAGAGAGAAATCATCCCCCAGGGGCGATGGCCACACCACAATCCCTTCTCCATTCTCCTCTTGGGATTTTGGGCATGCATGCACATGCGCTCGGTGTGAGTTTTAAGCGGCAGGGTCCAGGGCTCGAAATGTGGCCAACTAGGTGGGAGTCCAGTGACGTAATCATTGCGCCCTCTGCTGGTCCCACAGGCTGCGAGGTTTAATCAAGTAACCCTGCTGGAGTAGCTTGTCCAGGGGTGGCTTGTGAGTGGCTCTGGAGGCAGGGCCCACAGAGCCAGGTCGAGTTCCTTCTGCACCAGGTGTTTGTCTGCTAACTCACTTCCCCACATCCTGCCACCAGGGAAGGGACTCTTGTTTCTTGGTGACAGCCACGCTCAGTGTCAGGCCGTTGTCCTCCTTGCATGCTTGGTAAGCCCTAAGTGTGCAAGGGAGCTGCTTTGTTCCCTCGTCACTTTCTGATCAGAGCTGGGAGTATTGGCAAGGGGAGGGTTTGAAAGGAGAGTGCTGGGTTGGATGCCACAGCCCCTCCTGCTGCATGTGAGCTCCGGGATGGGAAGTGAGGGCTCTGGCAGAGTGCTGGCAGCAGCTGGGCTTGGATCGGCGAGGGCAGATCCTGGGACGATCAGGTTAGGCTGTTGTTGGTTAGTTGGACCTTACTCCAGTCTCTCCTGTCACACTCACTTTTTAAAAAAACTACAGTGTTTTCATTCATTGTTTAAAACATTTATTTTATTTATGATAGAGGAGTACTTCATGTGCATGTGAGAAGGAGAATGAGGGAAGAGCACGCTTGGCAGAACCTGGCATGCCGTGGTCCCCTGCCCCCAGCCCTCTAGCCCGTCAGGATCTTGGACACATGTATGTGCCTGGTGTGTTTCAAGTAAAGCTTCACTTGTAGCTCATGCAATGGTGCTAAGTAGTGATTCTTAGACTTGCAGAAATTAGGCTTTTCTCACAGTATGTGGCCCAGGAGGTGACATCCGGGCCCCTAACTCAGACTCTGCAGGATACGTTTTCCTGCTGCACACTGATAGAATCACTCAGAGACTCCGTGATTACTTCAAGGTCATACATCTATCAGAGCAGGGCCAAGTTCAGATTCAGATACTTCCGACTAACAGCTGTGGGCTTTTCCCTGTGAGGGGTGTGGAGAGAAGGCAGCAAAAGGTACAGAGTATCCGAGCAGGGGCCCTCTGGCCTCAGGCTCCTCTCTGAGTGGGAGCATTGCAGGCCTGGGAGCAGGCCAGGGAGTTTGAATGACCTTCACCTTCACCCTGTAGGAAGCATGCGTGCTGTTGACAGAAGGGGCAGAGCATAGTGGCACGTGAAGGGAAGCTTTGCGTTTGTGCTGTCTTCTCAGAACAGCCTGGGGGGCTTGAGATCCCCTTAGTATGCATGTTGGGGGCTTGCTAGAGTCTCACAGCCACTGAGGAGGTGGGCTCTGTGCATGCAGGGGGCTCGCCACAGTCTCACCGCCAGTGAACATGGGTCTGATTTGAACTGGGGCCTCTGCCTGTGGCCTGCATGCTTTTCCCTTGCCGTGGGCTCCGCAGCTCAGGGCTAGGTGGATTTGGGACACAGACTAGAAAACCCCATCCTCCAGTCTTTCCATCTTTTTTGTTTATTTGATTTATCTATGTATTTCTTCTATGAGAGGCAGCTGCAAAAGGATTCTCATGCCATGATCCACCCCTAGTCTCAGCTGGCCAGATTCACGGACTTGCGCCGACAGGGCCCGGGTGCTCGAGGAGGGCACAGGGCCTTTCCTGTGTGAGTCCGGTTGCATACCACTGTGCCACCTTCTGGCCCCCAGCCTCTTTCCTTAAATGGCTGTCTCAGTAGCCCCAGATTGTGGGTGGTTCCAGCAACACAGGAAAGAGGTTCATTTTAAAATTTGTGCACTCTTGGGACCAGCAGGTGACATGGTAGTTAAGTCACTGGACTCCTGCGTGGTCGACTGTTCGAGTCCTGGACCTGGAGGCTTGAAAATCATCAGTGCAGTGCGCCAAGGGTGAGTGGGACAGCTGCAGGGGCATGGCGGCTGGGCTGTGGCCTCACTTCTCCTTGCAGCTCCTAGGCCTCCACTCTCTGCAGTACTTGACCTCATCATGCTGTCTTTCCCCTGGTGGGAAAGAGAAGGCGGTCCCTCCATTGAATCTGTTCAAACTTTTTTTTTTTAAAGAATTCATTTTAATACTATTTATCATCATCATCATCATCATAATTTCATTTGACTTGAGAGAGAGGGAAAGTGAGAAAGCAAGCTGCCAGAACTACGGAGAGCCATGTGGGAATCCAGCACCTTAACCACTATGCCACCTGCTAGCCCTGAATCTGCTCAAACTTTTAAGAGTTGCCCAGGCTAAATCTGGTTCTGGTTTTGGAACTGTTTCCCTTTGCAGTAGTGTTGTGAGTGTGAATTGGTTTAGAATAGAAACTCCTTTTAACCTTGACTAGGACAAAAATAAAACATGGCTGAGGGCAGTCTTCTCTTGGATGTGGTTCAGATTTCATGTGCAACTGCTGGCCAGGAGGAGTCAGAACCTCAAGGAGCCGCCTGCTGCTCCCCAGGGAGGGCTGAGAAGCCAGGCCCTTATTCTAAGGCCAGTCTCGGCAAAGTTTACCATAGTGGGTCCTGGTGAGTGAAGGAGGCCGTGAGTTTACTCTGCTCCAGGTGCTAATGGCAGGGCACTTGGGAACAAGCACGTCGGTGCTTAAGTGCAGCTGACTGGCAGAGATCGGGGAGGAGAGCGGTGCTTTCCCCAGGAAAGGCAAACATAGCACTCTCACGGCCTGAAAGGTTGCTAGGAGTACAGCCGGGCCGGCTGCCGGGCCTGAGGCAGCATGTTTTCTGCTCCCTGGCCAGTCTGGCATCCCTCCTGCACCTGGCACCTTCCAGGTGAACTGAGGCACTCGTTTTTGTTTGTTCAGTGGTTTCTGTAATAGGTTCTGCTAAGGGCATTTGTTTAGGGAGGGAGAGGAGGCAGCATGGCTCCGTTAATGCCATCTATTTGCCTGCTGGCCCAGAGTCCCTAATGGCCTTGTGGGTACAAAGCTCCGGGGTCAGCGCCTGCCGCCTCTGCTTTTAGGCCAGGCCATCTGGATTAGGCGTTTCCCTTGCAAGCGTAGTAAACTGCTACGAATCCCCTTTCCGGTTGTCCTGCCGCCCGCCGGGTGCTGCCATCAGGAAAGGATGAGTAAATTGGGCTCCATCAGCAGAGCAAGTGTCGGTGTTCTGGCAGGGTCCCAGGGGCAAGCCATGCGGCGCACCGTCTTCTCACTGTCCCAAGAACGAGTCTGTATCTGCTTTTCTTTGCATAAAGAACTTCTGGAAGGACAAGCAGAAAGCAGTTGAAGGTAGTTTCAGGCCCAGCCTGGTAGGATAGTCAGTGGTGAACTGAACCGCAGTGCTGGAAGCCACATGTCCAAATGCAGGTTCAGGTCCCAGGTCGGTTAGAAATCACACTGGGCTGTGGATGTACCCAAGGTCCTGAGGAGCTGGAGGACTAGGAGCAAGGATCGTGGCATGACAAGACTCTGTTGAGGATGCTCCACTCTTTTTTGTGTGTACACGTACTATCATGAATAAAATGAATAAAATAAACTTAAAAAGAGAGAGTAGTTTCTAGTTCAGAGGAAGATGGGGAGTAGGGCACAAGATGACAAGAGTGGTGGTTTTTTTTAAAAAAAAAACTATTATTTTAAATTAATTAATTTTAACTTGACCAGAGAAGGACTGAGAGAGAGAACGTAAGAAGGCCAGGTCTGGAATTTGAACCACCATCAGCCATGTGGGACTCCAGCACCCTTAACCACCATGCCACCTGCTGGCCCTGACAGGAGTGGTATTAAAGATACTTTATACCTTACTCTTTTTCATCAAATGTTCTTTTGTATTGTGGCTATGTGAATGCCTTTTTAATTTTTTTAGTTTTTGGTGTAGGGTGCATGCTCACTGGAGAGACACCAAGAGAGAAAGGCGGAAAGTGAGAAAGCACGCCTTCTGAGGGGAGATGACTATGCTGCAATCCCTTCTCCCCCAATTTCCTCTTGGGGTCTTGGGCATGCACACAACATGTGCCTAGTGTGGCTTTCAAGCCACTGGATCTGGAACTTGAACCATGCAGTTGGCCATGTGGGATCCAGCTGCCTTAACCTCCATGCTACCTGCTGACCCATGAATGCCTTAACCCATTCATAACAATAATGATAATAAGCAAGACAGAGAAAGAAAAAATACCTTTCCTGGAGAACTGGCCTGCTGTGTGACTCTGGCACACCTGTGATTGTTTGGGGTATCGTTTCCAAGGCAAGGCTGTAGGATGAGGAGCAGCCCCCAAGGCAAAGGGGTTCCAACTGCCACATTGGAACAGGGCTATCTTCTGTCACCTTGAGGGTTGGGGCTTCCTGTGATGACATGTCGTCAGTCCCGATGGGCTGTGTTGTTGGGTCCTGGTGTCTTGAGATGCAGCAAATGTTCCTCCTTGTGGGCAGCCATGACTTGGAACTCAGGCTACCTGTGTCTGGAGCTGGGTGACAGGTGAACTGAAGACAAGGGGCCGAGAGGCTTGGTTCCCAACTAGACCCATTAGGCAAGAGAGTGTTTCCAATGCACAAGAGAGTGAGTTTCTTTTTCTTCTTCTCCTTTTTTTTTTTTTTGCCAGAGAGTACACAGAGGGAAAGGGGAAAAGCACCCCCAATGGGATATGGTCATGCCACAATCCCTTCTCCTCCATTTCTCCATCCTGGCAGGTTTTAGGCAGGCCATTTTCTTATGCCCAGTGTGTTTTTCAAGCCAACAGGTCTGGGACTCAAACCATGAGGTTGGTCATGTGGGATCTGGCTCCCTTAACCACTAGACCACATAGCTGGCCTGAGAGTGGGTTTATTTTTCTCTCTCCAGAAAGAGACAAGAGAGAGAGAGAGACAAAAAGTGAGAAATCACCCACCCACCCCCACCCCCCAGGGAGGATGGTCATGCCACAGTCCCTTCTCCATTCTCCTTTTGGGATTTTTGGGCACGCATACACACCTCCCTGGTATGATTTTTTTAAAAAAATAATTATTTTATTTAACTTTATTCATTCATTTATTTTAATTTGACCAGAGAGGGACAGAGAGAGAGAGAGAGAGGGAGAGAGAGAAAGTGAGAAAGCAAGCCACCAGTTCCGGGACTCGAACTGTGGTCGGCCATGTGGGAGTCCAGCACTCTTAACCACCATGCCACCTGCCGGCCCCCCTGGTATGATTTTCAAGCTGTCGGGTCCAGGACTAGAACCGCAAATTTGGCCATGTGGGACCCAGCCACCTTAACCTCCATGCTACTTGCTAACCCCGAGAGTAGGGTTCTTTTTTTGAGAGGTTTTTGCTACAGGGCGTATGCACTCACTAGAAAGACAGACATGGAGAGAGAAGGCGAGAAATCACCCCCCGGGGGGACGGCCACACCACAAACCCTTCTCCTCCACTCTCCTCTTGGGCTCTTAGCCCGGCCTGAGTTTAAGCCACCAGGTCCAGGACTTGAACTGTGGTTGACTACATGGGAGTTCGTCAACATAGCCATTACGCCAACTGCTGGTCCCAGGGTTCTTTTTTTTTTTTAACGAATTGTTTTACTTTATTTTAATTTGACCAAAAAGGGACAGAGTGCATGTGCGAGAAAGAGAGAGAGAGAAAGAAAGAGAAAGCAAGCTGCCAGGTCTAGGACTTGAACCATAGTTGGCCATGTGCGAATCCAGTGTCCCCAACCACCATGCCACCTCACCTGCCAGCCCCGAGAGTAAGGTCTTTATTTCTTAAAGAATTATTTTATTTAACTTTATTTAATTAATTAATTTAATTGGACTAGAGAGGGACAGAGGGAGAGAGAGAGAAGACAGTGAGAAAGCAAGCTGCCAGGTCTGGGATTCGAGCTGCGGTTGGCCATGTGGGAGTCCGGTGCCCTTAACCACCATGCCATCTGCCGGTCCCAGACAGAGTGTAGGGTTCTTGAGCTGGTTCATTGAGCCTTGTGGTGACCCCTTCTCATGTTCAAAGGAAGTGGCCTCTGGGATATGCACATTCCAGGACAGTGCATACAAGTCTGTTTTTGTCCAGAGTGGCCTATCAAAGGGGTGGATGGCTGCTGTTGGCTGGGCAAGGGTTGGGGATGGCTTTTCCATATGATCACATTTAACTCTCCTCCTGGGCCTGCTGGGAAGGTATAAGCAGCCCTGTTTCCAGGGGAGGGAGCCAAGGCTCAGAGAGGTTTAGTGACTGACTGTGAAGCCTGTCTGCCTCCCAGTGGGCCAGTCTCTCTCACAACCTGTGCTGGGTCTTATTTTCCAGGTGACGATGCCTGGGGAGCCAGTGGATGTGGCGTGTGGTGTGGACCACATGGTGACCCTAGCCAAGTCCTTCCTCTGAATCTCCTACCTGACCTGCTCAACTCTGGCCCTGGCCTCCGAACCACTTGGGCTGCTTGGCAGAGGCAGAGACAAGGCTGCCCAGCCAGGGTTCTTGGTGGTCAAAGAGGCTCCTGACCTTTTCCAAGCACGACAAGCAGGTACATCCTGGGAGTCGGGAAGAGGCCCCTTCTCAGCTGGGACGAGACCTGCCAAACTCGGCACAGGATGGCTGCCTTTAGTGGGCTAAGATCCCGAGGAGTCAGTGCCGCTCCCGTGGGCCTGGGGGCAAGGGGAAGTCGCATAGCTCCACTCAGTCCCGGTAACCTGCGAGGGCCTCTGGTGTCACGCCTTGTCCAGGAAACTGGTCTTCGAAAACCTGGGTTCTCGCAGCATGCCCTTTCGCCCGATCTCAAGCAGTGGCTGGACAGAGGCTGTGCTCAGGAGAGCTGTCGCCCGGGCCTCGCGGTTTGCGCCTGGGCTGGCTGTGCGTGTGCTTCTGGCCGAGCCCCAGTTTAGCCAGGGGAGCAGCCTGGCCTTGCCAGCGTTGCGTTCAGGTCACACTGCTCAGGCAGCCATGTCTGGTTGGTGGCAGTATGACAGGCCTGCTGGTAGGACACAAGGAACAGCCCGAAATTCCTTGGACTGGAATCCCCCACGGAGCGACCGCTGTGTGCCAGCCGGCCACCCCACAGAGCTGTGGCTATCCAGCCCTGGAGCCACCCTCGCTGCCTGGCTTGGAAAAGGGAAGCCCCCACAGGAAGACTGGGGCCAGATTCTTGTGGCTGAAGGCGTTGAACACATCCACAAAAGCTTGGCTGAGGGGCCAGCCCCGGGGAAGAAAGACTCAGAAATCATGAAAAACATTTGATTTAGTAATGGGAACCTGTCTTTTTCCCTTCAAAACATCTTTTAAAAAAATCTTTTTTGGAATAAAATTCTATTTTCTGCCTTTTGATTTTTAAAAACCAAAGAGGGTTTTAAAAATTTTATAGTTTAGCAATTAGCTTTTAAAAACAAAGGCTTTGGGTAAAGAGGCAGATAGAAGCCAGTGAAGAATACTTCAGAAGACAGTCTGCTGGAGGGCTGCTTTCCACAGGTTCTACTCCCAGGGTTCAACTGGAGAAGGTACCGTGCTCACGTCTCCAACCGGGACCTCCCTCCCGCCTGCCTAGCTCCAGCCCTTCCTCCCTGCCTTTCTAAGTTTATTTCTCCCAAGAGGTAGAGACAGAGATGGACCCACACAGTGACTGAACGCACCCCCAAGAGGGTCCTGGCATTGTGATCCACCCCCTGTTTTCGGCTGGCCTCGGATCATGGCCATGCACATGCCTGGGGTTCTCAGAGAGGCCTCTGGGTGTGGGTCGGGAGCGTCCCATGTGGGTCACCCTCTCAGAGTGTCGTAACTTACTACTGCGTCACCATGCAGCCTGAGCCCTGTTCCTTCTGTTTGTTCACACCACGGTACTTGCGTGCCCCCAGGCATCAGGTCCTGTTCATGCTGGGTCATGTGGTGACAGACATCTCTGCCTCCGGAGGGAACCATGACACGTGATGACAGTCCAAGCATGTTAGGTGGCTACCCAGGCTGCGGAGAGGTACAGGCAGGTAGGGGCCTGGCTGCGCTGGGAGGGCTGCCCTTTCATTTTTAGTTTTTTTAATTTGCTATAGGGCTTGTGTGCTCACCAGGGGCAGAGATGGGGAGTGGGAGAGTGAGAAAGCATGCCGCAGGAGGGATGGTCACATCACAATCCCTTCTCTTCCATTTCCCTCCTGGGATTTTGGGCATGCATGTACATCACCTGATGTGTTTCCAAGCTGCTGGGTACAGACTCACTGCTCAGCTGGCCATGTGAAATCCAGGTACTTTAACCTCACGCCACCTGCTGGCTGCATTTTTTTTTTAAAGGCAGATTGCCAGGTGGAGACAGAAAGCGAGAGATCACCCCCTGGGGGGATGGCCACACCACAGTCCCTTCCCTACTCCTCTCGAGATTTGGGGCATGCACACACATATGCCCAGCATGAGTTTTAAGCTGCTGGTTCTGGGACTTAAACTGCAGTTGACTGTGGGAATCCAGTGATGCAACCTTTATGCCATCTGCTGGTCCCCTGCTGGCCCTGCTAAAACTTTCTCTCTCTCTTTTTTTAATAATTATTTTACTTAACTTTATTTATTTGCTTGTTTTTAATTTGACCAGAGAGGGACAGAGTGAAAGAGAAAGAGAGAGAGAGAGGCAAAATGAGAAAACAGGTTGCCAGGTACAGGATTCGAACCGTGGTCAGCCATGTTGAAGCCCAGTGCTCTTTACCACCACACCACCTGCCAGCCCCCGAGACTCTTAACTTTTTTTAGTTTTTGTAGAGGGCTGCACTTCTTCTTCTTTTTTTTTTTTTTTTTTTTTTTTTTGCTTTTGTTGCACTGTCTTTTTTTTTTTTTTTTGCTATTGGGCACATGCACTCACCAGAAAGAGACAGGGAAATTGAGAAATCACCCCTGGGGGGATGGTCATGGGGCAATCTTCTCCATTCTCCTCTTGGAATCTTGGGCATATATGCCTACGTGCCCGTGCCCTGCGTGATTTTCAAGCTGCCCGGTCCTGGACTTCAACTGCATTCGGCCTTGTGGAATCCAGTGCCTTAACCACTGGACCACCTGCTAGCCCTGAGGTCTGCACTTTTAAGTAGAATTGTGGCGATGACCTGGCTGTGACCTGAGGCTTTCAGAACCAACTGGGTGTTGGGGCCAGCAGATGGCATAATGGCTACGTCGCTGGTCTCCCACATAGTTGACTGCGGTTCGAGTCCCAGACCTGGCGGCTTAAACTCACGCCGGGTGGGTGTACGTGCATGCCCAAGATCCTGAGAGGACGATGGAGGAGAAGGGATTGTGGCATGGCCATCCCCCCGGGGGGTGATTTCTCGCTTTCTGTCTCTCTTTCTGGTGAGTGCATGCACAGCGTAACAAACCTCCCTCCCCCCCCAAAAAAAAGCCAACTGGGTGTTTAGGGGTGCAGCCCCACGGTAACAGCTGCCTGGCCCCCTCCCCTGGGCCTCAAGGACACCCCTAGGTTTATTCTTAGGTTTACTACAGCACAGTTTTTCCATAAACATGAAATTCAAAATTCAAAACTGTTGTCATTTTCCTTCCTGGAACTGCTAGTTGGCCCGTGTCTCAGGTTGGCCCAGCAGTGAAGGATAGTGGTCCAAGCTCAGGGAAGTGAAGGCTGCAGAGCACATACTGGTTCACAGGTCAGTGCCCAAGGAGGGCAGGCCTGGGCCATCCAGCGCTCCAGGAGGGCAGTGATGCAGAGTGCAGCCAGGGTGCAGACGCAGCCGTCGGCTCAGCCTTGGACACAGCACCCGTGCGTGGTGAGGGGTGGCCTTGGGTTCATCTTCGAACCCATTTCTTCCAGCCTGACTCACCTGGCTAGGCAACATGGCTGTGCCTTTTCTGGGTCCTGAGGGCCCCTGGTAGGAGTGCCCCTGCCAGGTGCCAGGCTCTCTCCACAGTAGTCACTGTACTGTCAACGTTTGTCCTCTTGTTCCCACCCCCCCAGCATCTGACACACACACAGCCCTGCTCTGCCATTAGCGTGGTTGCTAGGTTTATCATTTTCACTCGTTCCTGTGAAAACTCCGTGTTCGCAAGCTCCAGTCTCCTGCTCCAGTGAGCACGACATCAGCCAGGATGTAGGGGCCACTTGCCAACGCTGATGTGTCCTCTGGTCATTCTCTTGGATGCTCAGATGCTGCCCACTCCTCTATGCTGGGGTCAGGAGCCACGGCCAGAGGGGCTGAGTGGAGGGGCAGTGTGTCCCTTGTCAGCTACTTGGCCACGGCCGTCTCCCTTGGCGGAGCTGTTCCCAGGTGCTCGGGTCTCTGTCTTCTGTCCTTGGCCCCAGCCAGCTGTTCAGGCCACCATACCGCATGCTCTCTGGTGGGAAAGGCTGGGTCTTACTGGCAAGAGCAACCTCCAGCCAGCTATACAGCCTGCCGTTCTGGTAAGGCTGTATTGTATCCTCACTAGGATCCCATTGTGACTGGTTTCTCCAGTGTGTTCACGACTGGCCCGTATTCTCATCAGGTCAGGAAGTACTGATGCGGTTATTGTGTCCTGGGCGACAGTCAAATCCCGAGAAACGTGTTGAAGGGACGCTCTGACCTGGCCCAGTGGTTAGAGTTTACAACTGAGTGCCTGGCGCTGCCAGGGGGCAAGATTCAGGATGCATTAGGAAGGTCCCAAACTTCCCTCGCTTTCTGCCTTAGCCTCGGTCTCTGAAGGGGGCTGCTTCCGCTCCGGAACAGCAGTAGGAGCTGCGCAAGCTGTTCTGAAAGCCGCTCTCTGCCGTCCCTGGCTGAGAACCGATTCAGGGCCCTGCTTCACTGCGCAGCCTGGTGTGACCCTTTCCGACGGCCCTGGGAGGCAGCCATCTGACTGTACAGGAGCTTGTCCCAAGGGCCCCCTTGCTTCTCTCTCCCAGGGGACCTTACCCACCTCCCCTCAGACTCATGTGCGTGCGTGCCCAGGATCCCGAGAGGAGAATGGAGGAGAAAGGATTGCGGCGTGACCATCCCCCCTGGGGGGGGGGTGATTTCTCACTTTCTGTCTCTGTCTCTGGCGAGCGTGCACGCCCTATAGCAAAAACCTTTCCAAAAGAAATAAAAATAAATAAAAGCATAAACCCAGACCCTTGTCACGTCACACCTGGAGTGGACTTCCCAGCAAGGCATGTTAGGTGTTTGTAGGTGGGAAGGTGCTCACTGTGAGCACCAGAGAAACATCTCACTATTGCTCTGCTGGCCTGGTGGCAGTAACGGGTGGCCAGTGCACAGCATGTGAAGCCATGCCCTCAGGAAAACGCCCTGTGTGAGTTCCTCTCAGGCACCAGGACTAAGCAGCCGGGCCACGGCATAGGCTGGCTGAGGGCCGCCAGCCGCCGCAGTCGGCCTCGGTTCCAGTGGGAGAGTACCGGCGTGGCACTGCTGAGCTACTGTGTGCCAGGCCCAGGAAGGTGCTGCACACCAGAGAGAGCGGGATGGGAGGCGTGAGAAAGCACCCCTCACAGGAATGGTCACGATGGAGTCCCTTCTCCATCTATTCCTGCTTTCAGGATTCGGGGGCATGCACGTGCATATGCCTGCCACGTTTCTCAAGCTGCTGGATTCAGGACTCAAACCATGTGGACAGCCATGTGGGACCAGCTGCCTTAACCACCATGCTTTGGGTTGGCCCCAGCCTCCTCTCTCTCATTAATTTTTGAGAGAAGGGGGATTTTTTAAATGACATTGGGGGCTGGCAGGAGGCGTGGTGGTTAAGGGTGCTAGACTCCCACATGGCCGACGTGGTTCCAGTCCTGGACCTGGCAGCTTGCTTTCTCACTTTCCCTCTCTCTCACTCTGTTCCTCTACGGTCAAATTAAAATAAAATAAATAAAGTTTATTTTTCATTAATTATTACTTTTTTTTTTTTTTTTCACGAGTTTTGCTAGAAAAAGAGAAAAAGCAAGCCTCCAGGTCTGGGACTCAAACCATGGTTGGTCATGGGCGAGCATGGTTGTGTTCCAGTACCTTAACCACCACGCTACCTGCTGGGCCCCAAATAAAATACAAAACACTACATTGAAACCAGACTTTGGGGATAGTTCCCCCCCTCCCAGAGAGGTATTTGCTATAGGGTGTGTGCACTCACCAGAAAGACAGAGACAGACAGAGAGACAGAAAGTGAGAAATCGCCCCCCCCCCCGGGGGGGAATGGCCACGCCTCCATCCCTTCCCCATTCTCCTCTCAGGATCCTGGGCACACACGCACATGCACCTGGTGGGAGTTTAAGCCACCGGGTCTGGGACTCAAACTGTGGTTGACTATGTGGGAGTCTAGTGACATGGCCATTACTCCAGCTGCTGGTCCCAGCTGCTCATGGTTCTAAGATGCAGCTCGGGAACCCTCC